TCAAAAATTCGAGGTTCTGTCCTCCTTCCCCGACTGTGTACAACGTGTAAGGAGCATCAGAGTTCGTTCTCGGTGTGTGTGTAGGTTTCTGGGATGGTTCTTGTGGTGTAAAGGTTTGAGGTCAATTTTTCGTTGGGTTTCGTTCGCTGGTGATTCGTCGGTGTCTCTCGATTTCTCTCGCTCTTCTCACTATTTTTCCTTCTTGCAGGTGTCTTGGAGGTGGCTGAAGGTCGGGTTTGGTTTTTGTGGTGATCCCGACGTTGGGCGTGCTTCATGGGTCGGTGCGAACGAAAACTCCAGCGTTCGCTGGAGTTCTCGCCGACGACAGCGATTTTTTTTTTTAATTAATTAATTTATTTATTTATTTATCCACAATCTGATCCATTACACGTACCCTCGTGATGGAATATGGGTATCCTCCAATGCATGAACACAGATAATGCATGAGGTCCCAATATTTTTCCATTTTCAACATTATTAAATATAACCGCGCTATCGTTTTTCCTTCATATCATATCATTTCTCATATCATACATAACTCTAACGGGGTTATATTTCGTGTCATTTATTGTGATTTCATGTCATTCATATCATGTTGTATACACACAATTTCGGAGACATAACATAACGTTTCATGCTTTTAACATAACATTTCATCATATACATATCATACCATATCATATTGCATCACAATATATCATATCATACCATAAACATGTCAATTTATCACATATCTCGTACCATAACATATTTCATATCATTTTCAAATCATATGACAACATATGTATATTCATCATTCACATGTCGTATCATAATCATATCATATTGTAAACACTTTGTGGTTATATCGTTTCCTAACTTATCATAGTCTTAATGTGCTTGTACATATCATGATCATATCGTTACATGAGCGTACCTTATATATCGTCACAGAAACGTATCCTAACGCTATCGTTTTATCAATCTATCACAATCATATCCCTTTCTACCCATAACCTAACCGTATTCTTTTATTAATCTCTCATATCCATAGCACTTCGATACGTAACCTAACCTTAACTTATTATCAACATATCTTACTCTTATCGTTACATTACGTTTTGTGCATTCTTCTCGTATCCTATCTCAAACATATTGTTGATCTCATTGTACCGTAAGTATTATCATACACTTCACATATTATAACATATACATAACATATCATAAGCATATCGATTCACAAACAATTCACACATATCAATATATATGACACGTGCAGAATCAAGGAGAACGTGTCAACATCAAATATAACCATGCCGATAGTAAGACCACTTACCTGATTAGCTTAGGCTGGTGTTACTAATTCATCCTTAAAAAAGTTCAATTTTGTCCTTTGTATTTAAGTCAACCTATATGAACCATGACATCAATTTTTGTCCTTTGTATTTAAGTCAACCTACATGAACGATGACATCAATTTCAATTTCAATTCTTTAAATTTTACAAATGGTCCATGTGTTAGACTTCATATGAGCATTAAAGACTATGTGATTAAAGACTATGTGATGCAGAGTCTTGAAAGATTATATATATAAAATTATATTTTCATTAAATATCTTAATTTCTTTTATTACTGTTTTAAAGAAGGTTGGATACACTTGACAGGATATTTCTTCTATTTTTATCTTTTAGTGTTCACCAATTCTTCCCTCTTCTTCTATTAAATTTTATCTTCTTTTTTGTTTTTCTACTTCCCTTCTTATTAATTTTAATTATGTTCAAACTTTTTCGTTAAATTTCATCTATGTATTCTCTATATTTATTTTAATTCGGTAAATTTTCCTTTTTTTTCTTTTAATCAATTCTTATTTTCACATCTTATCTGTATTTTATTTTCTGCATGTATTTCATTGTATTTTATTTTCTACATGTATTTCCCTCCTCTTTTTGTTTGTTTTCATCATGTTATAGATATTGACTCCTAATTCTCCCCTTATTATTTTCTTATTGTATTTCCCGATTTCATAAAAATGAAATTAGAATAAAAGAAAAATAATGATTTAATATATAGCTTAACGACTACATCTCTCTTCACCTAAAATCTACTTCGAGCCGTGAGGCCATTTTTGTTTTTTACTTTTTATATATATATGTATATTTGTATATTTTTATATTTTCTTTCCCATGAGGTGGTCTTTTGGCATGGTTGGCTGAGAAGAGATAAATGGGAAAAAGAGAAGAGGTTAATAGAAAGAGGTGGGTAAATTTTTTTTTGAATAGTAATTTTTTTTTTAATTTTTTTTTATTTGTTTATTTTATTTTAATTAAGAAAAAGGGAGAACGTTGAGATCTCAACCAATCTTTCTAAACCTTTGTTAGTTCCTCCAACAAAAAAAAAAATAGAAAGAAGAAAAACAGAAATGTCTCACGAAAATGACAAGGAGATGCTGGAGATTTACCTGGAGATAGGTTTCTTCTTTTATCTTAATTTCATTTTTTAGGAAAGAATAGTCAATTTAAATGGTTAATTGTTTATCTTGAGTTAGAAATTATATGTCAATAATTTTATACTAATTCCAGTAAACAAATGAATTATTAAAAATTGGCAAAATATTCGTTAATGGATAATACGGCTATAAGAAAAAAGAAAAGATTTGAAAGAAATAATAAATTAAAATTGACCCAAATTACTGTTAACAAAATTAGAGAAAAGAAGAAAAAAAAAAGAAATATAGAAACTACAGAGAGAATGCCCAATGTAGAATCAAATGAAAAGAAGGAAAATAAGAAAGAAAAGAGAATGTCCAACACATAATCAAAAAGAAAAAATAAATAAATAAAAGGGAAGATGTGAGGATAAGACTCATTAAAAATGAGTCAATGTCAACAAAATAAAAACACAAAAAGAGAATAAAATAAAAACACAGGAAACATAATAGAATGAAAAAATAGGGCAAACAGAGGTAGAGGTAGAACTGTGAAAGAATGAAAATGGAAGATATAAAAAATATTAAATTGTTGATCCATATATCTTCATTTATGAAGTAATTATCAAATATATTATGAAATTATAATATCTAATAAATTGTATGTTAGTAGGCATTGTATTGTTAGACAAAACATTAAATCTAAACGGAAAGATTAAGAATTTGTTAAATACTTAACAAAATTTAGGAATTAGAATTACTGAAGGGAATTACTGAAGGAATTCGGTGAACATCTTTAATAAGGTGAAGCACCTTGGCATAAGTGAAAGAATTCGAGGAATGAAAGCAAGCTAATTTGAAGTTCGATAGAACTTCTGCTAAGGTCATTCAAGTAAGTGGCCTTACTATCGGCATGGTTATATTTGATGTTGACACGTGCCTCGTGGTTCTCTGAACGTGTCATATATATTGATATGTGTGAATCGTTTATGGATCCATATGCTTATGATATGATATGTATATGTTATAATATATGAATTGTATGATAATACTTACGATACGATGTGTTCAATGATATGTTTGAGATAGGATACGAGATTGCACTAAACGTAATGTAATGATAGGAGTACGATATGTTCATGAAACGTTAAGGTTAGGTTAAGTATCGAAGTGTTATGGATACAAGAGATTGATAAAAACGATATGGACACAATTGATCAATAAAAGAATATGGTTAGGTTATGGGTAGAAAGGGATAGGATTATGATAGATTGATAGAACGATAACATTAGGATACGTTCCTGTAACGATATGACTAAGGTACGTTCATGTAACGATATGACTGTAATAGATATATGAATGTTAAAACTATGATAAGTTAGGGAACGATATAACCATGAAGTGTTTACGATATAATATGATTATGATACAACATGTGAATGATAACCACGAAGTGTTTACGATATAATATGATTATGATACAACATGTGAATGATATATATATATATACACACACACGTTATGATATGATATGAAAATGATATGAACTATGTTATGGTATGATATGTATATGATGGAAATTGTTATGTCTGGAACCATGAAATGTTATGATATGATGATGTAATTTGAATGATATGATGTGATTGGCATGCAAAACGACGAACTAGCATGAAATACAACCTCGGTGTATGCATGAAAGATATGATAAATGATATGATAAACGATATGTGAAATGATATGAAAAACGATTTGATATGTACGGAACGCTAGCGGAGTTGTATTAAATGATAATGAAAATGGAAAAATGTTGGGACCTCATGCATTATTGTTTGATCATGCATTGGGGGATACCCCTTACCTTCACGATAGTATAGATGCGTACATTACGAGGTAGGAAAACAATCATTATGGTTATCATAATGCTGCGATGACCAAGCAAGAAAACAATATTATATTTAACCTAATGCTATTGTGACATTTACTAGTTCTAACGGGTGTCTGGCCTAAGGAGCTCCCAGAATATGCTCGTCCGACAAGGAAAGTGGCCCAGCGGTGTGCAAACTAACTGTTGAGTTCATACTTGAACGTATGGGCTGTGTGCAGAGTATATGGAAAACATCCAAGTTACACGTTATGATAGTATTGTAGGAAAATAGACTGATATGATAGTCCTGTCATTGCATTCACATGTTCTTGCATTTAACCTTCTATAGTGGGGTCACTTGCTGAGTATTTTCTTTAAATACTCAAGCCACATGCTACCTCTATTTCAGGTTAAGGCAAGACATTCATGTACGACTGATGACAACATTGCAACTCGAGACCATGACACATGCATAGGGTAGTCGTATTTATTTTCTTAGACTTAGGCTAGAATAGGATGATTTTAGTTTAAGCATTTATTTGTTTTATTTAGTCTTTTGTTGTGTCGTCTTTAAAGGTGTTTCCAAACACGCAAGTCCATGGCTAAGTTTTAAGATGAAGGTGACGTTTTATGAAAGTTTAAATGAAGTATTTTTGCATTCAATGTTCATGATATGTATACAGTGGCGACCTTAAATTAAGTAGAAAATTTTGGGTCGTTACAGTTGGTATCAGAGCTCTAGGTTACAGATCTTGTAGACTAACCTACGATGTAGGCTTGATATGTTCTATGGTCCCACCATTGATGCCCCATCTACATCAGGTATGTCTTGCGTAAGACAAGAAAATGAAATGTCGTTGATTGCCTATGTTGTTACTGCTTGGTCATTATAAAATATAACTCATAATTGAATTTTTACACAATTCATTGTATTATAGTTGATTGCATTATTGTTGGTTTAATTCTATATTTATTATAAGGTAGAATATGTTATGTTTTACCTTGCATGAAATGTGAAGGTAAATTGATGTATTGATGATGTTCAAATATAGTGAGGTTGGTACTGTGAATGGGGAACTATAGTTTTAGCAAGCTACTAAATGTTAGTGTATGTGTGAAAATGATTTTGCTAAGGAAGATTATATGTTTCAGTTAAACGTCTCGAGCATAGATAAATTACGCATTGTTATGACCATAGAAATGGAAAGAAATGTACCAATGTATACTGATGAGTAAGTAATTTCAAATGAAATGGAAATGACCTAAGAAGCTTGATAAATGACAATATCTTGTAGTATGCTATATATATTAAGGGTGGTAGTATCAAAAGAAAATTTTGTCACTATGAAGTATGTAAATATGGAATTAAAGTATCGTATGAACAACCAAAAAAAAAAAAAAAGTGATTTGGCGTTACCACTTGGAAAAAAATTTCGGTTAAAACCATACAAGTTGAAAATGTTGTATACTTTAAATTGATTGGTGAATGACATAAGTGCTTTTAATGGAAGCTGAGCTTTGGAATAGTGAGACGTAGAAAACTTTCCTGCCTTAATACAAATTGAAAATTTTTAAAAATACAATCGCAAGTATGAAAGTTATGAAGGTGACTTAAAAGTATCGAGTCACAATTTGAATGAGATATTACGATCATGGTCAAAATTTTAGAGGTATAGGGGAAGGGACTACAGTATGAGATTGTCATGGGTGGGGGATACACGGGGATGATAGAGGTAGGACATTGTCTCTAAATCAACTAGAAGTTTGTGGTAATCTTCCTTATACCCAATGCAGAAAGCTAAACATAAACAAATTGTTGTAGAAAATTATTGACGAATTTTTCCTAGCAATGCAACCTGGTTAAAAGGTATTACCATAGTTAAGGTTTCAAGACTATTATTTTAAGTTGGATTTTTAAGTATCAAAGTTTTATGGTATCTGAGATATCCTCCATGCTTATATAATACCAATTTTTTTAAAGAGAATTTTGTTAAACTCCATCCTTGGTGTTACTAAGGAGTCGAAAAAAAAAAAAAGAAAAAAAAGTTGTGGTGACTTTCGGTTATGGATATAGCACAGTTGTTAAAATGACACTTTCGGGATGTATGGGCAAAGAGGTAAATTATTGAATCTTAAGCAAAGTTTCGAGAATTTGACATGGGAACAATGTAACTCACGAAACAGTAAAACTATTAATCTAGTTGATGGAATCATCATGAAAAAAAAGTAAGGATCTTGGGATTAAGATCGAGTAAGTTTACCAACCTTAGTGTCCACATGAACATTGATTTCAATGAAGTGCTAGAGCCACAAACCTACTAAATGAACTATGTTGCTCATGAAATTTTAGGAGAATGCTCAATATAATGTAATAATGTTATGTATGAAATTTGGTGACTATTAGATTATAATAACGGGCTAAACCAAGTGTAGGTATAAAATGACTAAAATGCCTCTATAATTATTAGATTATAGGTTATTTTCAACATCATAAAATGAGATAGATATTAAAATCTATACTAAAGATAAGTTCATGCTCACTTAGGGTAAGAACCAAGCACGGTCAATTTTAATAGTTAAAATAAGTCGATATCTTGTAAAATTGTGGTTACAAGAAAGCTCACCTGGCATGATCTTGTCTAAGGCTGGAGGTACTTAAGTTGACGGTTTACAGAACACCTACTACTTGGAGATCGGACCAATACTTAAGCTTAGTTAGCCCAGTTTTATGAGCATGCGTGAGGGATGTAAGTTTTAGAAAAATCACCTAGACTTAAGTTATATTTAATTAGCCGGAATATACCTAAGTAATGAGTATACCCAACCATCTAAAATACTTAGTGGGAGGAAAAAGGTATATGAGATACATCGTTTTCTTTTTACACTCTCTGAAAAATTCACACCGTGAGATTCATGCTCGGCCTCGTATCGCCCTGGGAGCGGCCACAATTCAGAAGGTATTTGCATTAGTCAATAACAAGGTGAATAGAGAAAGTATTTAAAGTAAGTGGGAGAAGGGAGTATATCAACACGTCCTATGGTCTCCACCACTAGGTTGCACCGTGAGATTCTCATGTTTTGCCTGCATGTTGACTTAAAGCAACTACCCATTTGGAGGGTTATAACATGGGAGTCCAAACAATGCAAACTCCATAAATGGATAGAATTTCTTAGGCCATTCCCATCTTTGGCTTTTTCATTCGATAGCATTGTTGGGGCCGATCTCTGAGGTCTGAAAATGGCGGGTCACACTTACGAAGAATTACTAAGAGTTAGTATATTCTCGACCAAGGTAGCGATAACTAAAACACTATAGGAATAAGAGTTATTTTGGGATTAGTGTTTAAGTCAAGAATGTCTTGGTTTAGTGAAGGAGTGATTGACTGCTCCTCGGTAGCAGTTGCTCTAACTCACTAAAGTATCGTTGCAAATTAATAATTTTTTGGTACATTATTACATTTGCTAAACCTGATTGGATTAAACAGGATTAACTCAAATCACTAATATAATTTTCTTTATATCAGAGCATGACAAACTCAATAGTACATTTACTCGCTTGTGAGAAATTAAAGGACGACAATTATGCAACTTGGAAATCAAACCTAAACACAATACTTGTAATTGATGATTTAAGATTTGTTTGAACTGAGGAATGTCCTCCAAACCCCAGCTCAAATGAAAACCGAACAGTTCGGGATGCATATGACAGATGGACAAAGACAAATGACAAAGCCCGAGTGTACATTTTAGCCAGCATATCTGATGTTTTGGCTAAGAAATACGATGTTATGGGTACTGCTAAAGAGATTATGGAATCTCTGAAAGGGACGTTTGGACAATCGTCCTTCTCCCTTCGACATGACGCCATAAAATACGTTTACAACTGCCGTATGAAAGAAGGGACCTCAGTTAGAGAACATGTCCTGGACATGATGGTCCATTTCAATGTCATAAAAGTAAATGGAGTTGCCATTGATGAGAAGAGTCAAGTCAGTTTTATCATGGAGTCTCTTCCGAAGAGCTTACAATGCGATGATGAACAAGATAGAATATAACTTGACTGCACTTCTCAATGAGCTACAGACTTATCAGTCCCTCTTAACAAACAAGGGACAAACAGGAGAAACAAATGTTGTTGTCTCTAAGAAATTACTACGAGGATCGTCCTCCAAAAATAAGTCTGGTCCTTCAACTTCTAAAAATGTTTTGATAAAGAAGAAGGGTAAGGGGAAAAATAAGATTCCTACTGACCGCAAACACAAGGTTCAAAAAGCAGATAAAGGAAAATGTTTCCATTGCAACGAAAATGGGCACTGGAAGAGCCACTGCCCAAAATACTTTGCAGAAAAGAAAGCCGAAAAGATACAACAAGGTAAATATGATTTACTAGTTGTAGAAATATGTTTAGTAGAGTATGATAACTCAACTTGGATACTAGATTCAAGGGCCACTAATCATATTTGTTCTTTTTTCCATGAAACTAGCTCCTGGAGAATGATGGCAGACGGCGAGATAACACTCAAGGTTGGAACAGGAGAGGTTATCTCATCAAGATTAGTAAGAAATTTAAAGTTATTTTTCTGAGATAGATTCATTATATTAGAAAATGTACTTTATGTTCTTGGAATGAAAAGAAATCTAATATCTATCTCTTGTTTATTAGAACAATTATATAAAGTATCTTTTGAAATCAATGAAGTGTTCATTTGCAAAAGAGGTATTCATATTTGTTCTGCAAAGCTAGAAAACAACTTATATATGTTAAAACCGAGCGAAACAAAAGCTATTTTAAATACCGAGATGTTTAAAACAACTGAAACTCAAAATAAACGACAAAAGATTTCTCCTAATACCAATATTTGGCACTTAAGACTAGGCCACATTAATATCAATAGGATTGAGAGATTGGTTAAAAGAGGACTTCTAAATGAGTTAGAAGACAACTCTTTACCTCCATGTGAGTCTTGTCTTGGGGGTAAAATGACTAAACGACCGTTTTTCGAAAAAGGTTATAGAGCTAAAGAAACCTTAGAACTCGTGCATACAGATCTCTATGGTCCAATGAATGTCAAAGCACGAGGAGGGTATGAATATTTCATTAATTTTATTGATGATTATTGAAGGTATGACTATCTTTACCTAATGCATCACAAGTCCAAAGCTCTTGAAAAGTTCAGAGAGTATAAGACTGAGGTTAAGAATTTATTAGGTAAAACTATTAAAACACTTCGATACGATCGGGGTGGAGAGTATATGGACTTAAGATTTTAGGACTATATGATAGAACATGGAATAACGTCTCAACTCTCAGCACTTGGTATGCCTCAACAGAACGGTGTATCATAAAGGAGAAATAGAACTCTGTTAGACATGGTTCAGTCTATGATGGGCTTCGTTCAATTACCTGATTCGTTTTGGGGATATGCAGTGGAGACTACTTTATACATTTTGAACACGGTTCCTTCTAAAGAATGTTTCAGAAACACCTTATGAGTTATGGAGAGGGCGTAAAGATAGTTTACGTCACTTCAGGATTTAGGATGCCCAGCACATGTGTTGTTGCAAAACCCCAAGAAATTAAAACGTCGTTCAAAATTATGTGTATTTGTAGGATACCCGAAAGAGAAGAAAGGAGGTTTGTTTTATGACCCTCAAGAAAATAGAGTGTTTGTATCAACAAACGCTACATTCTTAGAGGAAGACCATGTAAGAAATCATCAACCTCGCAACAAACTAGTATTAAGTGAGATTTCTAAAGAAGCTACTGATAAAACAACCAGAGTTGTTGATCAGGCTAGTCCTTCAACAAGAGTTGTTGATGGAGCTGACACTTCTGGTCAATCACATCCTTCTCAAGAGCTGAGAATGCCTCAACGTAGTGGGAGGGTTATAACTCAACCTGATCGTTACTTGGGTTTAGCAAAAACACAGGTCATCATACTTGATGATGGCGTTGAGGATCCATTGACCTATAAACAGGTAATGATGATGAAGATGGGGTTGATGTACTTCAATTCAGTCTGGGAACTTGTAGATCAACCACATGGGGTAAAACCTATTGGTTGCAAATGGATCTATAAGAGGAAATGAGACCAAACCGGTAAGGTACAGACCTTTAAAACTCGACTTGTAGCAAAGGGTTATACCCAAAGAGAGGGGGTGGACTATGAAGAAACCTTCTCTCCTGTTGTTATGCTTAAAACCGATTAGAATACTCTTGCCCATTGCCACATTTTATGATTATGAAATTTGGCAAATGGATTTTAAGACAGCCTTTCTAAATGGCAATCTTGAAGAGAGTATTTATATGGCTCAACTAGAGGGGTTCATTGAACAAGATCACAAGCAAAGGGTTTACATGCTTAAAAGATCCATTTATGGGTTGAAACAAGCATCTCGATCCTGGAATATAAAGTTTGATACTGCGATCAAATCTTATGGCTTTAAACAGAATGTTGACGAACCTTGTGTTTACAAAAGGATAGTCAACTCTACAGTAGCTTTCTTGGTTTTGTACATTGACGATATCCTACTCATTGGGAATGATCTGGGATTTCTGATTGACATTAAGCATTGGCTAGCGACACAATTCGAAATGAAAGATTTTGGAGAGGCTCAGGTTGTTCTTGGAATCCAAATTGTTCGGAATCGTAAGAACAAAATACTAACATTGTCTCAGGCATCGTACATCGACAAAATATTGGTTCGATATAAGATGCAGGACTCAAAGAAATGATTATTACCTTTCAGGCACGAAGTTCATTTTTCGAAGGAACAAAGTCCTAAGACACCTCAAGAAGTTGAGGATATGAGACATATTTCCTATGCATCAGTAGTCGGTAGTCGAATGTATGCCATGCTATGTACTTGACTCTACATATGTTATGTTGTGGTAAATGTAAACAGGGATCAGTCTAATCTAGAACGTGCTCATTGAATTTCCATTAAGAATATCCTCAAGTATCTTAGGTGAACGAGAGATTATATGTTAATGTATGGCGCTAAGGATCTGATCCTTACAGGGTACACCGACTCAGATTTTCAGACCGATGTAGATTCGAGAAAATAGACGTCAACATCTATCTTCACTCTGAACGGAGGAGTAATAATATGGAGAAGCATGATTCCACCATGGAGGTAAAGAGTTGAGATGTTATTCCATGTTCTATCATATAGTCCTAAAATCTTAAGTCCATATACTCTCCACCTCGATCTTATCGAAGTGTTTTAATAGTTTTACCAGATGGATTCTCAACCTCAGTCTTATACTCTCTGAATTTTTCAAGAGCTTCAGACTTGTGATGCATTAGGTAAAGATAGTCATACCTTGAATAATCATCAATAAAACTGATGAAATATTCATACCCTCCTCGTGCTTTGAGATTCATTGGACCACAGAGATCTGTATGCACGAGTTCTAAGGATTCTTTGGCTCTATAACCTTTTTCGAAAAACAGTCGTTTAGTCATTTTACCATCAAGACAAGACTCACATGGAGGTAAAGAGTTGTCTTCTAACTTATTTAGAAGTTCTCTTTTAACCAATCTCTCAATCCTATTGAGATTAATGTGGCCTAATCTTAAGTGCCAAACATAGGTAGTAAGAGAAATCTTTTGTCGTTTATTTTGAGTTTCAGCTGTTTTAAACATCTCGATATTTAAAATAGCTTTTGTTTCGGTCGGTTTCAACACATATAAGTTGTTTTTTAGTTTTGCATAACAAATATGAATACCTCTTTTGCAAATGAACACTTCATTGATTTCAAAAGATACTTTATACAATTGTTCTCATAAACAAGAGATAGATATTAGATTTCTTTTCATTCAGGGAACAAAAAGTACATTATCTAATATATTGAATCTATCTCCAAAAAACAATTTTAAATTTCCTATTGATCTTGCTGAGACAACCTCTCCTGTTCCAACCCTGAGTGTTATCTCGTCGTCCGCAAGCATTCTCCAGGAGCTAGTTTTCTGGAAAAAAGAACAAATATGATTAGTGGCCCCTGAATCTAGTATCCAAGTTGAGTTATCATACTCTACTAAACATATTTCTATAACTAGTAAATCATATTTACCTTGTTGTGTCTTTTCGGCTTTCTTCTCTGTAAAATATTTTGAAGGTCCGAACTTATTTTTGGAGGACAATCCTTGTAGTAATTTCTTAGAGATAGCAACATTTTCTTCTCCTCTTTGTCCCTTGTTCCTTAAGAGGAACTGATAAGTCTGTAGCTGATTGAGAAGAGCAGTCAAGTTATATTCTATCTTGTTCATCATCACATTTGTGCAGAACTGGAAGAAGCTCTTCGGAAGAGACTCAATGATAAAACTGACTTGACTCTTCTCATCAATGACATCTCCATTTTCTTCTGCCACATTGAAATGGACCATGATGTCCAGGACATGTTCTCTAACTGAGGTCCCTTCTTTCATACGGCAGTTGTAAATGTATTTTATGACGTCATGTCTAAGGGAAAAGGACGGTTGTCCAAACATCCATTTTAGAGATTCCCTAATCTCTTTAGTAGTACCCATGACGTCGTGTTTCTTAGCCAAAACATCAGATAGGCTGGCTAAAATGTACACTCGGGCTTTGTCATTTGCCTTTGTCCATCTGTCATATGCATCCAAAACTGTTCTGTTTGCATTTGAGCTGGGGTTTGGAGGACATTCCTCAGTTAAAACAAACCTTAAATCATCAATTACAAGTATTGTGTTTAGGTTTGATTTCCAAGTTGCGTAATTCTCGCCGTTTAATTTCTCAGAAGTGAGTAATTGTATTATTGAGTTTGTCATGCTGTGATATAAAGAAAATTCTATTAGTGATTTGATTTAATTCTGTTTAATCCAATCAGGTTTAGCAAATGTAATAATGTACCCAAAAATTATTAATTTGCAACGATACTTTAGGAAGTTAGAACAACTGCTACCGAGGGGCAGTCAATCACTCCTTCACTATACCAAGACATTCTTGACTTAAACACTAATCTCAGAATAACTCTTGTTCCTATAGTGTTTTAGTTATCGCTATTTTGGTCAAGAATATACTAACTCTTAGTAATTTTTCGTAAATGTGACCCATCAATTTCAGACCTCAGAGATCGGTCCCAACAACGCTATCGAATAAAAAAGCCAAAGTTGGAAATGGACCTAAGAAATCCTATCCATTTCTGGAGTTTGCGTTGTTTCGACTCCCATGTTACGACCCTCCGAATGGGTAGTTGCTCTAGGGCAACATGCAGGCGGAACATGGGAATCTCATGGTGCAACCTAGTGCTGGAGACCATAAGACGTGTTGATATACTTCCTTCTCCCACTTACTATAAATACGTTCTCTATTCATCCATTCCATGCAATAATATAACAATTTATATCTATTACTCATGGAACCCTCAACATGCATAATATACATTATAACACTTATAACATACTTGGAATGCATGAAACATGCTTAGCGTATGGTGAGATTTTAAATCTATATGACATACTTTATGCATATACATTTTCTATTTAATTAAAACATACATTCATAATGCATAATTAATTAAACACACTAAAGTGGATTGATTATGGCATTTTAAAGCAAGCAATTAACTAAATTATTACATTAGTAATTACAAATAACTTGAATCGCTCCCGAGGATCACGAACTGGGCGAACCAACCCCTAAAAACATTGAACCGTACCCCAACGACAGAAAAAACACCCGAACCGCCTGGTATTTTGTAAATACGTAATTATCTTGAATATATTAACTATTTCTTTATTTTCCGATCCTCTTCTTTCTTTTCCTGAGGATCTCACATCGAGAGCTGCTTCTTCTTGTCTCACTTCCGAGAAGCCAAGGGATTGGATTGAACCTATGATCAGATTACACCAGAGGATGCAGTCAATACAGCCAGAACCACACCTGTAACCCAAGTCAATTCACGCAATGTAGTTGGACTCTCATGTCGATCGGAATGAATCATCCTTTCCACGGAGGTAAATCTTTGCCTGCTAGGCAATCTTCCATCTTCTTCTTCTTCAGCTTGCTTTCTCTAACATTTTTGATCGATTACAACCTAAAATGGACTCCAATGCCTCCATAAAAATTATAGACCTTTCTTCACTCATTAAAGTCCATACACATTAGGCCAATTAAAATCATTGTATCAAATGGAAGCATAAAAAAAAAAAAACCAAAACCAAAAACATCCACTTTAGATACCACAAAATTGCATTCATGAAATGGTACCCACCATGCTCAAATTAATGTAAATAAAGTGCCTAAAACTTGCTCTCATACCAAATGATGGAGTTAATATAACACATGCGTAAGCAATTTGGATCTTAAGCACTCTTTGAACATCAATTATAGTAAATAACTAGCATGTTCATAAGTATTAAAATTAAAGGTTTTTAAGTACTAACCTTTTGTAGTTCAAATTCCTTTTTCCTCATGAACCTGTTTCGAACCACCACTAGTGTCTTTTTTCAATTCTTGGCAAGAGTTGGATGCATGATACTTTTCTACACATGGCCCACGTACACATATTTGGACCCATCAGACAGACTGGTATACGTGCCCTTTAGGCCGGACTTTGTCGGACACAACACAATACACGTCACTGGACCCTCATAAATGAAAAGGTCTTCATGATAACATGTCGAACATAAATATCGAAGGTATGCATCTGTACTAGCATAACATAACGGGGAAGTATCCCGATACACATGACATACATGCATGCACGAGGTTCCATGATTTTTATTCATAAGATAACATTTATTTCATTTCCTTTCTCCTTCCCTCCATAATATATTTCATGTATGTATCACGCATACATGGATAAACATCAATTTTTTCTACCTTATAATTTGAGGGGTCTCGGATGGCGGGTATAGAAAACAAAGAAGAGAGAGGAAGGGAGAATTTGGGTTTTTAGGGAAGGAGGAAAAACAAGAAAGTAAAGAGGACGCCAATCAAACACTTTAATGAAAAATTTGGCAAAAGATTTATCTCTAGTCCTTGTAAGAGGATCGATGAGTGTCAGTTTTTGTTGTAGGATCGTTCGATTTGACTACGATGTTCTAGGAAAGGATTCTTACAAGTTTCGTGTTGAAACTCGACCATGATTTGTTTCAGAATTAGATTCGAGAGATATATAATTTCGATAAGAAAATATATTTTTTCCAAAATTTGAACTCAATTATTATGATTACCAATGGAACTTCAAGGTTAACTTTTGGGGAACAACCCTCTATTGGTGCAAATTGGAGACGCCACATGCATGTCTCTTTTGAAAGCTTTTGGCCTGAAATACAAAACTTTTGGCTCGGTGATAGGTGCAAACATGGAACTGTAGGAACTTGTATTTGGACGGCTAAAGAGGATGGAATTTACTTGAGAAACTTTCTTGCTAATGTTGATGATTTGATTCACAAGTGGATCTATAAAAGATAGAGAAGCTTTCTTATCTCCTATTGGTGGAATTATCCTTGAGGAACAAATAAAAAATAATGGGATTACACAAAAAGGTTGTTGTAGTTGTTGTTTTTTTTTTTTTCTTTTACTTTTAGTGTATGAAATGTATTTGATAATGAAGTGTATTGTTCTTCTCCAAAATTTTAAATTATGAAGAAAAAAAAATTACATTTGTATATGAATACAAGTTTTCAAAATTGTAATATCGTTTTTATATTAAAACTAAAAAAATAATAATTTTTACTGACCAATCTTAGAGAAAGTTTAGAATAATAAAATCTAAAATAGGTATTAAAATTTCATGTTTCTGCCATCTTCACATGGATTTTAAAATAAGATGGTAGGCAGAATCCTTGAATTTCAATATATCTTATTAAAAGTTTCACATATTATATTGTATTTCCACAATCTTTCTTGATGTCCGATTTTCAAGAATTTGGATCTCCATCAAAACTAAAAATATGAAAAAACAAACAAAAAATGAAAACTAAAATAAAATAAAACATGAAAATTCGATAAAATATAAATTTAAATGAAGATAAATGACACCAAAATTAAATACAAAATAATATTTAATTACAAGAGGGTGCTGTTAAATTTTTTTATAAAAGTGAAAAAGGTGTTGGGATATACAAACACAACTAGTTTGGCAAACACCTTATATCGTGTAAAGTTATATTATTCGGTTAGTAATGCAGTCACACCCAATATATGACTGTGACCTATCGTTTAAACCATACCATGATCTTAGGCTTTTTTCAATTCTTGGCAGAGTTGGATGCATGGTACTATACACGGCCCACGTATGCATACATGGACCCATCAGACATCTATACGTGCCCCTTAGGTTGGACTTTGTCGGGCACAACACAATACACGTCACTAGACTCTCATAACAGAAAAGGTCTTCATGATAACATGTCGAACATAAATATCAAAGGTATACATTCGTACTAACATAACATAACAGGGAAGTATCCCGATACACATGACATACATACATGCATGAGGTCCCATGATTTTTATTCATAAGATAACATTTATTTCATTTCCTTTCTCCTTCCCTCCATAACATATTTCATGTATGTATCACGCATACATGGATAAACATCACATAATCCATCACATAACTTTACCGGGAAATATGTAACATTTCATACCTATCATACCATAACATATATCATCACAATATATCATATCATAAACATGTCACTTATCACTTGTCTTGTACCATAACATATTTCATATCATTTTTATATCATATCACAATGTGTGTGTACATATATATATGTTGTTCGTTCAGATGTCGTATCATAATCATATCGTATCGTAAACACTTCATGGTCATATCGTTCCCTTATTTATCACAACTTTAACATTCTTATACCTATCACAGTGATATAGTTTCATGAACGTACCTTAGTCATTTCGTTACAAGAACGTATCCTAACGCTATCGTTCTATCAATCTATCATAATCCCATCCCTTTCTACCCATAACCTAACCATATACTTTTATCAATCGATTGTGACCATATCGTTTTTATAAATCTTTCATTACATTACGTTCAATGCATCCTTTTCGCATCCTATCTCAAACATATCATTGAACACATCGTACCATAAGTATTAACATACAATTCACATATTATAACATATGAATACCATATCATAAGCATATCGATCAATAAACAATTCACACATATCAATATATATGACACGTGCAGAACCATAGGGCACGTGTCAACATAAAATATAACCATGCCGATAGTAAGGCCACGTACTTGATTAGCTTAGGCTGGTGTCAACAATTTATCATTGAGAAAGTTCGATTTTGTCATTTATATTCAAGTCAACCTATATGAACCATGACATCAATTTCAATTTCAATTCTCTAAATTTTACAATGGTCCATGTGTTAGACTTCATGTGAGCATTAGAGACTCTATGAGCGAAGTCTTGGAGGGTTATATATATTTATATAATTCCATTTTCATTAAATATGTTATTTTCTATTATTACTGTTTTCGGGAAGATATTGTTACTCGAAAGAATTTGATGGAGTTTCTTGACATGATATTTCTTCGGGTTTATCTTTTAATGTTCACCAAATCCTTTATTTTAAATCTATTAAATTTCCTCTTTTTCATCTACTTCCCTTTTTATTAATTTTAATTATGTTCACCATATACTCTATTAAATTTCATCAATGTATTTCTAAAATTAACGGTATTTATTTTAATTCTTTAAATTTCTCATTTTTCTTTATTTTTCTTCTTGTATTTTTCTTGTATTTTTCTTTTCTATTTTGTTAACAGTATTCTGGATTTCCATCCGTATTTCATTTTGCTCGATCTGTGCTAATTAAGTGTCGTGAACTCGCATAGGTTTACTTGGATTTCAAAGGGAAAAATTGAACTAGCTCCAAGTAAGATTTAGGGACTTCAACTTAGCTACCTTAGTAAGTTTCTTCACTACTATTTTGGTTCGATGAACTGTTTGAAGCACGAGTGGCGGATGCCCTGTGGCCCTTGCTTGTGTCGTCCCTTGTGATTTCTATATTTGCATTTTATGTTATGACGTGTTGTTATGATGACAAATGTTACCTTTTGTAATTTCATGCTTACTTATTATGCTATTGTGAATGTGACATATTATGAAAGTATGGTAGCATAGAGTACATTCACCTTATGTAAGGATAAGAAATGGTTATGTAATGTATGAAATTAACAAAGATATGCATTGCACCAAAGATACATGCCCAGATTTTAATTGGGATAGCATGGTAAGTGCTAGGCTGCTCTCATCAACCATGGGAGGTTCGTTGACGAACCCTACGCATAGGACAATCTAGTCACCCCAAGGTTAGGGAAGTGATCCCCTATGCTTGTCAACTATTAAGATTACCTTCATAATCCTACGTCCCATCTTTTGACGGATCTACTATGCAAGATAATCAAAATAAACTATCGTTCACACAATCCTAGTTGGCCTAGGCCTGGCTCGACGGTACTTGTACCAAAGTGTAAAGGGAAGTTGAAGTAACGGCCTAGATGATACCTTTACTTGCTTATTTGTACCATCTTTATATTCTTTGACGATGGAAACTTGCTTTGCTTATGCAGTGAGGGATCGAATATCTAAGTTGAGGCACGTCCTCATAAAATTCTAATCAGACAATATGGTGATTTTTAGTATGAACATCTTGAAAAAGAGGTTGGTTGGTTTCTTCCTCACGGCCAAAGAGTCACCTATATTTGGGAGATGTGAACCTTCTGCATTAGCCAGCTACTTGGCTATCTCATGTTATCCCACACTCCCTTTTTAAGGAACAGGTTAACAACATAGTGGCCATATTCAAGAGACCATTGGCCATTCAGCGGAACAGAAGCTCAAACTACCCTAACTAGCATGTGCTCAGCTCAATAGTACTAATATTGTAGTGGAAAGGGATTTAAGGGTCTAAAGATAGCGTAGCATTCACACATCTCATAGCCTAGATTGTTACCTTGGTCATTCTTGGGAGTCGTGGAGATCTACTATTTTATTAGGGACCTCTAATCACATCTTTGGGTAAACACAGGTCTATAATTTTTATCACCACTCACTATCCTAGGGTATTTTGATAAGGCAACCCTAATCCTCAATCCAACGAATCATGCTTTTGTTGAAGAAAGAACACTTGAATCAAATAATTAACACCTCCCTATACAAAATTCAGATCAATAAAGAGATAAGGCTAGAATTAGGTTACCTCTTACAATCAAAGATCTAGAAGCAAGATTTGGAAACCTTGTTCTAAATCGAGTTACTCCGCAATCAAACTTAATCAAGGCTTGATTGAATGGCTCGGATGCAATTCTACCACAAGAATTGCTTGAAACTTAGAAATGACAAATATGATGTTCCAATTTCTAAGAAAACGTCTAAATTTGAGATGTCAATTTAATTCATCAACGAATTTGATTTTTACATAACAATTTCTTGGTATTTATACTCCCCATAAATGACATTTGTGGCCATGATTTAATCCAGATCCCCTTAAATCTCCACTAAAGACGAAGTCAATTTGACCATTTGACAATTCCAAACATTATGAAATTAAAAATAATAAAGTTTTCCACCCAACTTTGATATGTTTAAATGGCTAACGAGACAAACATTCTCGATTCTTATCATATTTAGTCTACTAGAAATCTATGGACCTTATCAAGATTCTACACACGCTATCGCGTCCTAATCTTATCAAGATTCTCTAGTGCTTGCGAAGCACATGTCGCTCTTACCAATTCTAATTTCCCATGCAATGGAAAGCATAGAAAACGATATTCATACGAAATTTTATCATAGGGGCATTTTGGTAATTTCTTCCATCCTGCATAACATACTCATCCATATTGCTCAATTGGTGTTTTAATCGTTCATATAATACATAAATGACATACATACAATACATACTCATAAAAAAATAAAAAAAAGCTTTTATGAGGTCCTTAACATGTATTTTTGACCACCTAAGTTAAGGAATGCTCGCATGCTATCATGTCCCAGCGATCTCTACAAGTATTACTTGCCTAAAGTCTATGTGGTTACTTACTTGAATGACGTTTACCTTCTTGAGCCAGCTATTCCACGTGTTTGGAGCTCAAGAATTTATGGAATTTCTCTCGTAGATCCTAATTAAAGCATAATTATGTTAATATCGAAGTCAAGACAAAAAACTAACAAACGTAGGTCGAACGAACAAAATGAGACATACATGCGCTTACACACGTCAGGAAAGGCTTTTCACGTGCAATTTCACGCATGGAGGTTTTTTTGTAGATCTCGGTTACTCATTGAGTCATTGGATCGGGTTCAAGTTGCATTTTTTGTTTGGGTCGAAGGTTAATGAGTTGCACATGCAAGCTTTTGATCGAATCCAGGTTCAGGGATCGGGTTAACCTACATGCATGTCACAATTAGTAGTTGTACGATTCTCTCCGCTCAGCATTTGCCACTTGTCCTATTGAGCATCAGACTCACTACTGCCAACGTCGTCTAACGCGTGCCTTCACACTTTTTGCCAACATTCATTACTTTAGAAATAGGATGAGGTTTCTATTACCTATCTAATTTCTTCTAAATTTTGTAACTTTTGACCGGTACACATAGGTATTTTCTCTTAGGTTTATTTTAGCCACAAAATGAAATAATAAAGTGCAAATTCGGTCCAGAATTTAAAACTTAGGAAATTTACCATTTCTTTAAATTCAATGAACTATTGTCTTTAGATCGTAATGAACTCTAGCTTTCTGTATGAATCTTGGGTGAAATTTCCCCAATATGAACCTACTAAAAGTTTAGAACTTAATTACAAGAAACGAAATTAGAAAAAATGAAATGCTAGCCTACGCTTCATTCATTCTTGACGGATTTGAATGGTAACACCGGAGCCCCAACATATACATAACTCTTACTTTAATACTTAAATTTGGAAAGTTTTGGATCTTATTATTGACATAGAGGGTGAATCTCAAGTGCAGAAGGAAAAAAAAAATGCTTGAGAAGCCTTACCGTACCTTGGAACAAAAATTCAATATTTATCAAATTAAGAAAAATTTAGACAAAAATCTACCGGCACAAAAGGGTAATTTTTTCTACCTTATAATTTGAGAGGTTTGGGATGGGGTGTATAGAAAACAAAGAAGAGAGAGGAAGGGAGAATTTGGGTTTTTGTGGAAGGATGAAAAACAAGAAAGTAAAGAGGACGTCAATAGGACACTTTAATGAAAAATTTGGCAAAAGATTTATCTCCAGTCCTAGTAAGAGGATCGATGAGTGTCAGTTTTTGTTGTAGGATCGTTCGATTTGACTACGATGTTCCAGGAAAGAATTCTTACAAGTTTCGTGTTGAAACTCAACCATGATTTATTTCATAATTAGATTCGAGAGATTTATAATTTCGATAAGAAAATATATTTTTTTCCAAAATTTGAACTCAATCATTATGGTCTCTATCTTCCTAAAAATTTTAAAAAATGGCATTGAATTGGTTGATTCGAGCTCTTTATTTTTCGTGAAGAAACCAAGTCGTTTCTAGTTAACGATCGGAAGATAAAAAGCAATCCAAAAAAATAGATTGAAATGCATCGCTCAGCGAAATCTAGAAAAATTGAACGTTGGAAGAATCGACCGTGGATACACCTGGCGACGAGAGAGAAGCGTATTAGCAAAAAGTTGAAATGTATCACAACGTGGCAGGAATGACGGGTCAACCAATCAACGAGGACATGTTGTGAGACACCACTTTACTCGCTAAACCGCACACGACCCAGTCTACCCTCTGTAACTCAAACAGTACTAAAGAATTGGAGTTCGATCCGCATGCCCAAAATCCCACCCGACCTGTTCACTAACAAATGACACGCGTCCGGCGACTGTACCTCCGCCAGACGTGTGGTAAACGCGCGTAGAGAACATCTTTTGTGCTTGAATATCGCATGGTATGCGCACGTAGAAAACTTCTTTGGTTCTAGAAAAGCACGTGAGCGTGTGTATGGACTTTCTTTTTGTCCTGTAATCCTGCTCGAGAAGGCACACGTCAAATCTGTATGTAACAACATGAAAATATACGAAGCAGTACTTGTACAATTCGCTTGCTTATGAATGCATGCTAGTAAAATTGATCCTAGGTAGCTATTCTTGATTAACAACTACCTAGGAAACTTACTAAGAGGGAAAACAGACTTGCTAGTTGTTGAAATTTCTTTTCTTACCCGGTATACTGTCTTGATATACTTTACTACTACTGCAAGTAATCATGCAATGACAGTGGATGTGATGTTTATTTATCAGCACTCTGGGTGCTGGATGTATGTTATCGCCCCATTGAGCATGTGTGACTCCTGGTGAATGATTGTGTGATCCCTCCCTTTTGAGAATAAGCAACAGAATCGAGTTAAGTCTAGGGTAAGCACGTAGGTTGGTGGGTCGAGACTTCGGATTGAACACCTTTAGAGGTCTGAGACCAATGGAATCATGAAGGGTGATCAGAGTGTGAGACAATATTATAACAAAATAGTGTGCGCACATAAGTAATTTACAACACGACAATATTTAAAACACAAAATAAGAAACGAACTAAAAACATTTTAAAACAAAAGAGTTGAGGACGACGGGTGAGTTTATTCTATGGCACCTGCCCAAGAGTCCACTCCCGACTTCGACCAACTCTTTACCTGAAAAAAAATGGGGAATAAGGGATGAGTACAAAGTCTTAGTATGCAGCCTGCTTGTAGGCTCTCAATCGTGTCGTTGATATGCTAGGATACCACACTCTTTCTTGTCTTGTTCTCGTTTCTTATTGTAAGTACTTAGGCCCACTTGTTCTTGACTTGGGGTTCTTATCGTGATTCATTCTAAGGACCTTGGTCGTTGGATTCTAAAACCTTGGTCATCCTTTAAGGCCCTTAGTACCATGGTTCTTTGTTCTTGGCTCTTGTACTTAGAACTAGGGTCTTGATCCATGTTCTAGACTGAGATCTTTCTCTTGTTCTTGGTACTTTCTAGGTATTTATTATGTTATTGATTTATTCTCCAAGACACTCCCCCTAGGATTTACGGCACTAGCCATACACCTGACAATCCTGTGTCCAAGGCTTGTTACTCAGTGGTAGATCAACTACATTGCATTGTGGACACGTCGTGTTTTAGGACATTAATCACGAGGCTA